TAGTTCGGCTGGAACCACTAAGCTCACGTTTGAAGGAATTCATGACTTAATCCTTGGTGAGGATATCCGGAGGAGGAGTTTGGGGGATAGCTCCAATAGTTTGTTGAGTACTGAAGATAGGGGCAGAAAATCCACTAGAGGGGGGTAACAAGAAAGGAAGATCAAAGTCGAGGAAGAGAGGTCAATCCAAGAACAGCAAGGACATCAATTGTTGGAATTGCAAGGAGAATGGACACTTCAGAAATCAGTGCCCAAAAGCCCCTGCAGACAAAGTCAAGAAGGAGGTGAACGTGGCAGAGGATTATGCAGATGTTCTAATTTGCAGCGTTGAAAATTCATTTGAGTCCTGGATCATGGATTCAGGTGCGTCGTTTCATGCTTGTCATTGCAGGGATTTGATGAAAAATTTCAGGCCCTACAGCGGAAGAGTTCGTTTGGCGGATGACAAATCCCTGGAGATCACGGGTATTGGGGATGTTGATCTCAGTACCACTTTGGGTACAACCTGGAGGCTGAAAGATGTGAGGTATATTCCAGACCTGAAGAAGATGTTGATCTCAGTGGGATAGCTTGATGAGGAAGGCCATAACGTTAGTTTTGGCAACAAGCAATGGAAGGTGACAAAGGGAAAGCTGGTCATTGCTCGTGGACAGAAGCATGGTACACTGTACATGGTTGAAGTGTCCACAGATGGAGCAAACGCAGCAGTTGAAGATACAGGGGTCTCTACTTTGTGGCACCAAAGACTTGGGCACATAAGTGAGAACGGAATGAAGATGTTGTCTTCAAAGGGCAAAATCCCAGATTTGAAGAATTCAAAGTTGAGCTTTTGTGAGCCATGTGTTCTAGGCAAGCAAAAGAGGGTAACCTTTGTGAAGACAGGACAACAACCCAAGACTGAGCGGCTGGAGTTGATTCATTCAGATGTCTACGGACCTACAAAGGTCTCTTCGATTGGAGGTTCCCGCTACTATGTTACATTCATTGATGACTCTACACGGAAGGTATGAGTTTATTTTCTTAAAAATAAATCTGATGTCTTTAACACTTTTAAGAAGTTCAAAGCTGCAGTTGAGAATGAAACAAATCTCAAGATTAAGTGTTTAAAGAGTGATAATGGGGGTGAGTACAGTAGCACAGAGTTTGTAAAGTATTGTGCTGAACAGGGGATCAAAATGCTGAAGACGGTTCCAGAAACACCACAACAAAATGGTGTTGCATAGAGAATGAACAGAACACTGTATGAGAGGGCCAGGAGCATGAGATTGCATGCAGGACTTCCTAAGATGTTCTGGGCAGATGCGGTGAACACAACAGCGTATTTGATCAACAGAGGACCCTCATCTCCCATAGGTTTCAAAATTCCAGAAGAGGAATGGAAAGGTCGAGAGGTATCTCTTAATCACTTGAAAGTTTTTGGTTGTATTTCTTATGTCAAAGTTAGAGATGCAGATAGTGATAAGCTCGAGGCAAAGGCAAAGAGATGTATCTTTATTGGGTACGGGCTGGATGACATGGGCTACAGGTTCTGGGATAACCAAAGTAAGAAGGTTATCAGAAGTAGAGATGTCACCTTCAACGAGAATGCCCTATATAAAGATGGACTTGCAGCAGATACAAGCAAAGGCAAGCAACCAGAAAACAAACAACAAGTGGTCTTTGAAGGGATGACTGAAGATGACATAGCACAACCTGTTGGTTGTGATGAGACGAATGGAGGCTCAGGGAGCAGTGGAAGCTCAGGAGATACAGGAATTTCTGAAGATAGTGGGAGTGATGAAGACAGTGGGAGTTCAGAAGCAGCTACTCCACACATTAGACAGTCCACTAGAATCAGAAGACCTCCTAACAGATATTCTCCTTCAGCAAATTACCTGTTGCTGACCGAGAATGGAGAGCCAGAATCTTACTCAGAGGCACAGACTGTGAAAGATTCCATACAGTGGAAGAAGGCCATGGAAGATGAGTTAGACTCACTTGACAAGAATCAAACTTGGTCCTTAGTCAAACTACCACCGGGAAAGAAAGCTTTGGAGAACAAGTGGGTGTTCAGAATCAAAGATGAAGCAGATGGCAGCAAAAGATACAAGACAAGGTTATTTGTCAAAGGGTTCCAACAGAAGAAGGGGGTTGATTACAATGAAATCTTCTCCCCGGTTGTGAAGATGACTACTATCAGGTTGATTCTTGGTATCGTTGCTGCTGAAAATTTGCATCTGGAGCAGCTGGATGTGAAGACTGCTTTTCTCCATGGAAACCTTGAAGAAGACATCTACATGGCCCAACCAGTAGGTTTCTCAGTGAGTGGGAAGGAGAAGTTGGTGTGCAAACTCAAGAAAAGTTTATACGGACTGAAGCAAGCTCCTAGACAGTGGTACTTGAAGTTTGACAGTTTTATGCAGCGGAATGGGTACACTAGATGCAAGATGGACCATTGCTGTTACTTGAAGAAATTCAAGTCATCATACATTATTCTTCTTTTGTATGTTGATGATATGTTAGTGGCTGGATCAAACATGCAGGAGATCAACGAGCTCAAGAAGAAGTTGTTCGAAGAATTTGAGATGAAGGATTTAGGGGAGGCGAGACAGATTCTTGGGATGAGCATAGTCAGAGACAAGGTGGAAGGTACTTTAAAGCTTTCACAGCAGAAGTACATTCAGAAAGTCTTTGAGAAGTTCAGAATGACGGATGCCAAACCAAGGAGTACACCGTTAGGGAGTCAGTTGAAACTCTCCAAGCAGCAGTCTCCGAAGACCAATGAAGACAAAGATGAAATGGCTAAAGTTCCTTATGCATCAGCAGTTGGCAGTTTAATGTACGCAATGGTGTCAACAAGGCCAGACATTGCTCATGCAGTGGGAGTTGTTAGCAGGTTCATGTCAAATACAGGGAAGGAACATTGGGAAGGAGTCAAGTGGCTGCTACGCTACTTGAAAGGTACCTCTGAAACTGCTTTTTGTTTCAGGATGAATGGTGTAATCCTAGAAGGATTTGCCGATGCTGATTTGGGGGGCTGTCATGATTCTGGGAAGAGCACTACGGGTTACATATTCACAATTGGAGGTACGGCGATCAGTTGGATGTCCAGACTACAAAAGAGTGTGGCTCTTTCAACCACAGAAGCAGAGTATATGGCACTTGCTGAAGCGGCCAAGGAACTGATTTGGTTGAAGAACTTTCTTTCGGAGTTGGGCATGAAACAGGGGGATTGCGGTCTATACTGTGACAACCAGAGTGCTATTCATCTCGCGAAGAATCCAGTGTTTCACAGCAGAACGAAGCATATCAAGATGTGATACCATTTCATCCGAGAGTTGATTGAAGACGGTATCATAAATGTGAAGAAGATCCTTGGTACGAAAAATCCAGCAGACATGCTTACCAAGGCGGTGACAACGGAGAAGTTGAAGTTATGCATGGCTTCAACTGGCCTTCCAGATACTTGATGAGAAGGCGTGAACGAGAGAGAGAGAGAGAGAGAGAGAGAGAGAGAGAGAGAGAGAGAGAGAGAGAGAGAGATCTGGGGTTTTGCAGATGATACATGCTCTTGGATGGCAGAAGACTGTTGAACAAGCCTCCAAGTGGGAGATTGTTGAAGATGGAGCCTTGTTCTGATTTCTGGTATATACCCGACCGGGTATGGTGGGTTACCCGACCGGGTATGAGGTTGCTTTACCCGGGTAACACCCTGTGTTCTGTACCCAAGCGAGTATGGAGGTATACTCGATCGAGTATGCGTGGAAACCTTACTCGAGTAGTAGCCTGGAATCTGTACTCGATCGAGTATGGGAGTATACTCGATCGAGTATACGGGAATTTCAGATACGGGATTAATTTTTGGGCCTGCGGCTCTAATCATTGTTTAGGTTTTCTTAAACCTATTTAAGCACCTCTAATGTATCTGTAAACACACCAGACGCTGGAATAATAATATCTCTCTCTCTCTCGTTCGCCGTGGACTAGCACAATCACCCCGATTGTGTGAACCACGTAAATTTTTGTGTTCTTGCTCTTTAATTTATCGTTTTTGATCTTAATCCTTAATCGTAACATAGAACACAACTCATAAGTCAATATTCATACTCATTTCTACTATGCATCATCTTCTTCTTCGTATTAGCTCAAAATCTCCGTTTATTATATATTTTGGATAACCCATAATCCATCAGTACTGCACCCTTTAGGGTAGATTTATTACAAAAAGTGAAATGGGACAATTAATTTGATACAACTCGAAAAGAAACTAGGACAATGATTTTAATACAGGGGAAGTAGTCATCGTAGAGCGTCATACTCCTTCCATCTGTAAATAAACTTTTCACTTTTCTTTTATGGGTATGATGTTCCTAAAGAAAGTCTTCTTTCCTTAATCGGTAAATAAATTTATATCAATTCACTCTACCATCCAGCGCCGGACCCAAAGGGAGCCCCCCCCCCCCCCACAAATTCCCCCACCCCCGAGTATATTTACCCCAAAAATTTAATATATATGTGTTTATATGTATTTTTTTACACTGCCGCTCCTCCTACCGAGAATTCATGTGTCCGCCGCTGCTACTACCTTTAAATAATAATGACAACATGGTGCAAAACAATGTTAAATTCAATCCCAAAATAGTGTACTCTATCGTGAAATTTACCTCTCAATAAAAGGGCTATTTCAAGATGTTTCAGAGGGAAAAGGTTATTCCTTAAAATGTGTGCAATTTAATGGAGGATCTTTACATATGGCCATAGAGTATATATATCTCTATGAAGTATATGTATCTTTACGAAAATGAAAAAATAGCAGCCTAGTGTAAAAATGGACATTTTAAAAACTTGCAATAATAAATTACTAAAAAGAATTAAAACAGTAACCAAATTAAGCAAGGGTTTAATACGATATAAGATCAATAAATATTTTTTTATCAACCGTGTACAAAAAAAATCATCCACTAGCATATTCTTAGCTTAGGATGTTTTTACTTGGATTGTAATTTGCTGATTTGGTCTGATCTGATCTGGTCTGGTCTAATTTGATAGAGTCAAGTCTCTTTGTATTTTTATAACTATCCAAGTCTCGTCTGGTCTGATCTGATCTGGTCTGGTTTGAGACAGATTACCGTCCAAGTAAAAGCATCCTCGTGATCTACCCAGTGAAAAGCTTTATGGTTACTACATTCAATAATTCTTTTCTTAGTACAACAACAACATCCAAGCCTTAGTCCCAAACGGTATTGGGGTCGGCTAACATGAATCGATACATGATATCACCACCAAAAGGAAAAGAAAGAAAATAGAGATAAAAAAGATAAGCTATTATAAAAAAAGATAATATAAAAAGAGATGAATATACCTAAAAATGATAAAATAAAAAGGATAAAAATAATGTTTATATATAAGAATAAAAGAATAAAAAACAAGAAGAAGAAAAATGAGGGGAAATAATAATACGAGATCAATCCTCCACACGAATACCCGTCCTCCACTTTGCTCTCTCCAAAGCCATACCCTCATCCAACCCAAGAAGAAGCATATCACTTCGGACTCCCTTAACCCACGTTTGTTTGGGTCTTCTCTCCCTCTCTTCCATGCCTCTTCTCCACACATCTCAACATGTCTGACAGGTGCATCACTCGGTCTTCTACGCACATGACCAAACCACCGTAGGCGTGACTCCCGCATCTTGTCTTCAATAGCTGCTACTCCCACCCTTTGTCTGATTGTCTCATTTCTCACGTGGTCCTTCCTAGTATGCCCACACATCCAACGCAGCATGCACATCTCTGCCACACTCATCTTTTGAATGTGACATTGTTTCACCGCCCAACAGTACTCTACGCCATACAACAATGCAGGCCTAATTGTTGTCCTATAAAATTTAGCCTTCAGTCTAGTCGGCATACCTCTATCACATAGAAATCCTGACGCACTCTTCCACTTCATCCATCCTGTTCTGATTCTATGCAATACATCTCCATCTAACTCACCATCCTTCTGAATTGTGGAGCCCAAGTAACGAAACATATCACTGATCGGTATCTCCTTACCATGTAGAGTAATTCCACTATTACCACAGATTCTACCTCCACTAAACATGCACTCCATGTACTCTGTCTTACTCCGACTTAGTCTGAAACCCTTGTTCTCCAATGTTTGTCGTCATACTTCCAACTTTGCTGTAAGACCTGATTGCGTCTCATCAATCAATACAATATTGTCGGCAAACATCATGCACCACGGTATTTCGTCTTGAATTGACTTTGTAAGTTCATCCATGACTATGGAAAATAAGAAAGGGCTCAGAGCCGATCCTTGGTGCACTTCGATAGTAATATGGAACTCCGCAGTCCTCCTACATTAGTACTGACACTTGTAGTACAATCCTCATACATATCCATGATGATGCTGATATACTCGCGTGATATGCCTTTTCTAATTAAGGACCACCAAAGAACTTCTTGAGGTACCCTATCATAAGCCTTTTCTAAGTCAATGAACACCAAATGCAGATCCTTGTGACTGTCTCTATACTTCTTTATAAGTTGCCGAAGAAGGTGAATGGCCTTACTTGTTGAGCGACCAGGCATAAAACCGAATTGATTCTCTGAAATCTTCACAGTTCTTCGAAGTCTTTGCTCAATCACTCCCTCCCAAGGTTTCATGGTGTGACTCATAAGCTTAATCCCTCGATAGTTGGCACATTCTTGTACATCACCTTTATTCTTGAATAAGGGGATAAGAGTACTCTTCCTCCAACTCGTTGGCATCTTGTTGTTTCTCCAAATCATGTTGAAGAAACTTGTTAACCACTCGACACCTCTCTCTCCCAAACTTCTCCAAGCCTCGATCAGTATGTCATCTGGACCCACTGCTTTCTTCCGTCCCATCTTCCTCAGAGCCTCCTTAACTTCCGTTGTTTGGATCCTTCTCACAAAATCACGATTTACCATACAATCTGATATGGTCAAATCACTGATATATCGCGCTTTGTTACCATTGAATAGTGTATCAAAGTATGACCTCCGCCTCTCTTTTATCTCCCCGTCCTCCATTAGTACCCTTTGATCAACATCCTTCACACACTTAACTTTTCCTATATCCTGAGTCCTACGGTCACGAAGACGAGCAAGTCTATAAATATCTTTTTCTCCTTCCTTAGAGTTCAATTTTGCATACAATTCCTTGTTCACTTTTCCTCTTGCTTCTTTTACAGTTTTCTTTGCTCTTTTTCTAGCCTCCTTGTACTCCTCTATGTTCTCGTCGCTCCAACTTTTGCCCAATTTCTTATAGCATTCCCTTTTGATCCTTATTGCTTGTTTCACCTCATCATTCCACCAAGATGTGTCCTTTTTTGGTGGTAGACATCCTTTAGATTCTCCCAATATCTCTTTCGCCACTTTGTTAAAGGTGGACTCCATTGATAACCACACATCATCCATATGTGCGTCATTATCAATGGACCATACATTCCTCCAACATTTTCTGCGTAAACGTTTGTTGGTAGATTCCCCTCTACCCTCACCACTTTATTTTTGGCTTCCCTTGTACCTTAACCCTCCTTCTCTTTTTACCTTGAAAATCAAGCACAAGCATCCTATGTTGAGTGACATCACTCTCACCTGGGATAACCTTACAATCAGTGTAGCTAGTTCTCCAAATCGTCAGTACTAAAAAGTAGTCAATTTGGGTACTATTAGCTGCACTTCTATAAGACACAAAATCAATTAATACAATATCAAATAAATACAGCTACTCACTGTAGACACAATTTAATACACTGCCAAGTCAAGTCATAAAATAACTATATTGTTCGAATTGACAACTTAGTGTATAAGGTTCTAAGATATGATCATGTAGGATGGGGACTATATATGCACTATGGAAGGCTAAACAAATTAAAGAAAATGTCCTATCTTAAATGGTTCGACATAACTCACGTTTCTACCAACCACTTCTTCTTTAAGTCTAATAATGTGACTCGTTAATGTAATTAATAATAATCAATTACACGCATATTATTAAAATAAAACTTATTTACATAAATATGACTATTCATTACTACAATGTAGTGTTGTGGTCTATGTTGCACGGATACGGATACGCCGATACGCGGATACGCGGATACGGGTACGGCGATACGGCACTTTCAAAAATTATAGGATACGGGTACGGGGGTATATTTATAAATAATAAAAAATATAGGGTATAATTTGCAAATATATATAATTCAGGGGTTCATAAATTAAATAATAATAATAGTACAAAAAATTAACTATTATAATAAAGTTTCAAAGATTAGTCTAAAAAACTAAAGTATTGATATTTTGATTTAAATTCAAATAATTTTTTTGTTCTCTATTTGCATTTACATCCAAGTCTTGTTTCAATTAAATATCATCAAGCAATGAAATGTCAAATTATAGTATTCCATTATTTTTCATACTCCCGAAACCATCTTTATCAATGTTCCACATGTTGTGGTCGCTTGGTTGGCTACTAAATTTTCGTCATGTCGTGTATAAAATGAGGGGTTATAGGTTCAGATACGCGTATCGGTTCACGGATACAGGTATCGGAAGTATCGGTATTTTTAAAATTAAGTCCGATACTTTTATTAAATTACGGATACGGACCCAATACGTACAGGACGGGTATCGGTGAGTATCGGATACGGATACGTATCGGATACGCGGATACGGCATCGAAGTGAAGTATCGGTGCAACATAGGTTGTGGTAACTTAAGTTCAAAACTTGAACATGAAATACTATTATTTCATTATTACTCTAGTAACTAATCATATTTTTGTAAATCAATTTATATAATTATATAATTATATAATTATTTCAATCAATTAACCTAATAGATAGATCAAAAGTTGGGAAGCAAAAACATCATCAACTGAGAAAATGTGATGACTTTATAAGGTGGCAATTGAATATAGTGGACTTGTCAAGCTCAAATTGACGTAGCATGAACTAAATTCCATTGAGTCTAGGGGTGAGCATATCAGTTTTTGGTTCGGTTTTTATTGGTTTCGGTTCGGTTTGGAACGTGTTGGGAGAATTATTACCAAATAAAAAACATACTATTTTTGGTTTGGTTCGGTTCGGTTTGGTTCGGTTCGGTTTAGTTCAGTTTGGGTTTGTTATTTTTTAATAAAATATAAAGGATTTTTTGAATTTCTTTAGTTCGGTTCGGATTTGTTCAGTTTTTATCGGTCCGGTTTACAGGAAATACTACCAAACTCAAACCAAATTGCATACGGTCCGGTTTCGGTTCGGTTTAGTTCGGTTTGGTACGATTCGGTTCGGTTAAACCAAACTGTTATGCCCACCCCTAATTGAGTCTACTTCATTTAACTATCATTTGATTAAGCACTTTAACTTTCAATTTAATTCAAGATAATAGTTTCAAACTTTAGTCTCCAAGTATAGCTCAATGTACCAGAGATATCTTTAATATACGTAGTATATACTCCGTAAATGATACGAACAAGTAAAATCTCCTTCCGCCTTATTAAGACCCCATAGTAACGATAAAGAGTTTACTTTTATAATAAGTTTATTTTAGTTTATGAATGAGCCTTCAAATAAATGTAAAAGATTAAGATTAGATAACATTGAAATGTTTTTTTTGTTTTTATATTAGGATTTAGGACTAACGCACTCTTTCACTAATGAGTTATCCATCCAATATCTTCTTGTTCCTCTGAATTCAAATCATATGATTACTTTACGTAAACATACCTTAACAGTAACAGTTAAGACTAATCGCCTCGGCATTAATCTGTGTCTTCACTCTTCAACTTCTGATTTAGTTCAAAATTGAGAGAATTCGAAGAAAGGATTACGGTAATCAAAGAGTTATGAGTTTAGAAAGTAAGAGTAGGGTAGTGGATGTAAAAAAGAGAGGATATAATGGACAGCCAATTCACGAAAACATTAGTTTTTAATCACTTCAAAGGTGGGTCAGCTTGATTCACCATTAAATGTGCAGTTTTGGTGCCTTAAAATAAAGAGATAATTACTCTAGATATGACTAAAACTTCTTCACTTTTTCAATCTATGACTTGACTAGTTTTTTACCAAAATAATATTAAGATTTAATTAAATTCGTAATAATTAAATAAATACTAGTATATATAATATAGGTGGACAAATATACCCTTTAGATTATATCTATAAAACTCTCACCTCCTACTCTTTTCTCTGACCCTAGCCTCCATTCTCACACCTCCATAGATCCATCCGTCTGCGGCCGCACGCCCTGTGTCACTGCCGTCCCGTGGCCCGCCGTCAGGCGTCGTCCAGGAGTACGATCATCGGCCAAATGCATCCAGCCGCTGCCGCTTGCAATGATTGCCGTCCAGGCCATGGATGCAAATGCTTGCAATGACCCGTGAATGCAAATACTTGGTTCAACAAGGCCGGTTCTTGATGTCATCTGCGGGTTGTCCGAGGAAGAGATCGAGGTGGTTCAACAAGGCCGGTTCTCGTTGTCATCTGCGTCTTCATCTTCAAAAGGGAAAGAAATCTTTTTTAAAGAGATACTTTTCTTTGGATGGAAATACGTGGATGAGAGGTGGTGAAAGCCAAGGTTGGGTTGTTGAAATACGTGGATTGAAATGCGGCGCTGCTCTACGTTTTCTTTTCTATTTTTGCTTTTCATTCTCATTTTTGCTTCTTTTTTTTTTGTTTTTGAAATTAAGAGTTTCTAAAATTAGGGTTTGTGAGCATTAAATTGAGGCAGTGAATATGCGCAGTGAACATCATAATAGATATTGTTGGGTACGACAGTGAATATGATAATACATATGTTATACATGACAGTGAATGAATTCATTAATGAAGTTTATTGTGCACTGATTATGACCGGGAGTGCAATAACACAGAGCAGTAATTTTGAAATGAAATGCAATATACTTAATTAGATGTAAAATAATAAAATTATTAAAACTAAAAAATAAAAATAAACCTATACATAATTTTCTAAAGTGAATGAGAAGAGATTTAATTTTAGGGGAAGTGCAATGATTATTACCGGATGTGCGGTAAAGTTATGCATTAATTTTGTGCATTAACGGTAATATAAAGTGCAGTAATTTTAATTGGACGAAATTAGTGCAAAATGCACATATTTTAAATAATGGTATTTTTGTCATTCAAAATTTAATTATAAACGAATTTTTTATTTGTTTTTGGATTTTTGGTCATACAAAGGTATAAAAATTAGGTAGGTCATAGATCGAGAAATTCATGAGTTTTAGTCATATTCTAGTAAATTTCCCTAAAATAAAGGGCGTAATGAGAGAAATTATATGACACAAGTGAGTTTGAAGTGTACTTAGCACACTGTTTGTTACGAGATATCATATCATGAATATGTAATTCTGCCTTTTTATGATAAGAGAATTTCTAATTATGAGTAAAACATGTTCAAAGTGTAAAAGTAGGTCTCCAATGTTGTAGCTTGACAAAACTACCCTTTATGAAAAAATTAGTTTATTTATTAATAAAACAAAATAAATGACAAATATAAGGTATGAGAGACACAAAACATTCGAATTACATAAACGGATTACATTTTTTTATTGTTTGAAATATCCAAGTTAAACCCAATTTGTTTTTATCATCAAAACAGGTCTCTATTCATATCAAAAGATTCAGGATCATTAAGCAAAGGGAAAATAAAACTAACACCAACTGAAACTCCAACAACTACGACTGTAACCCTATGGTGAGACTTTGAGACGGTCACCCCTGAGAGAGCAATACGAATCGCTAACCATGTAGTGGGCTTGACACAGCCAAACCTGTTCCCATAGATCCAACCATACCCAATGACATAAAGAGAGAAAAAACTCAAACAAACTGTCAAAACCAACAACAAAAAAGGACACAAGAACACAAATAACAAACAGATAAAAACTACAAGAAAAACTTTCACGAATTCTAGCACCTCGTACATCCCATGGTGGTGGTTCAGGAGGAGGTCATACCACCGGTACCATGCTAGTTGATCCTCCATGACTTTTGACTGTCAAAAACCATGCATCAATCCTCCGTCCCTGCATAACCAAACTCATCCCTGCTCCGTGCGACCAGAGTAAATGGATAGGCGGCGCTGATCTTCTCCAACGACGACAGCAACGCCACATCCTCGAACCTTGACCACAACGCCGATCTCCTCGAGCCATGACAGCAAATCCGCCCTCCTCCACCGATCTCCACCCTCCGCGTCTGACCTGGGCTCCAACCGAGCACCAGCGACCAAGGGATAGCAAAGCCGATCTTCGACAAAGTCGAAATCAGAAAAAGCAGAAGCATAATCAATTCCTAACACCGCCTTACTCCTATTTAATAGCGTATTTGGTGGCCTTGTTTTTCGGCTTATAAGGCTTATCAACCAATTTTTTCACCAAACACGTAAGTTTTGGTTTGGCGCACTGAATTGTGAAATAATAAGAAAATGTAAAGTTGAAAGTACTTTTCTGACTATATTGGCTAGAGTAACTGTAGAGGATCATTTCAGCTGTTTTTCATATATATTTTTCTTTACTTTATTAATAAAATATATTTTAATTAAATATAATATTTCATAATTAGCAAAATTAGTCAACCAATCCACATCGACCAGAACTTCGTAAATTTCAGCAGAATCAGCCAATACAGTCAATTTGGGTATTACCAAACGGGCTCAGAACTTCTTGCTTTTTTTATATTACATGTGTGCAATCAAGTCCAAATTTTGATAAAAAAAATATTCCCTCCGTTCTTTTTTAGTTGCAACACTTTCCTTTTTGAGTAGTTTCAATTTAATTGCAACATTACCTTTTTTAGTAATAAGAAATAACCATATGACCATACTACCCTTATTCAATAAAGTAATTGTGACTTAACCCATCTTCTCCACAGAATCCTTCCGCTTCACTTCGCACCCATCTGCCCACCCTTCTTCCTCATTCCCAATTCTTCCATCTCCCATTCTACTGATTCTATTTCATCCCTTCATTTTTCTATCCAAAAATTCACCCCATTCACAACAAATAAATCCAACAAATACAATTCTGAAAGAGAGCCTAGGCCACAATTACTATCTCCCTAGTCATTTCCTACGGATGTTAGAGCTCAACCTCGGAGGCCCGCCATTAGTGGCCGTCTGAAAGCTTTGCTCAAGACCAGCAGCAACAAAGTCGAAGGGAGCAAACACAGTGAGATCATCAATGACCTAAGAATGCGTTGGCAATGCACTATTAATTATCACACCTAAAGATTAAAGAATAGGGTCAGGTCAATCGAAATAAGTAGCAATAAAAAAAGTAATTTTTAATCAATGAATTATAAATTATACGGAGTATTATAAAATGTTCCTTATTCAAAATAGCTTCATAAAAATATAAAATTTATAAATTATATATACAAAATATAATAATTAAAATCATTATCCAAAGTTTATCATCATTTTTTAATATGTTGAACCTTTTGGAGACGGAGGTAATAATAAATTTAAAAATAGGGCCAAAATTTCATATAAAGTTTTAGAATAGGACCAATATTAGTATCATATGAAAGATCATAAAAATTTTAAAAATTGAAATATGTCTTTAAAATAGGACTATAAATGAAAAAAGGGAAAACTGTCAAATAGGTCCTCGAACTTTCATAAAAAGGTCAATTAAGTCCTTCTATATGAGGTTCTGTCCGGCCGTCGCGATTTGGGGCAGTTCCCGGTGGATTTTTTTGATGAAATTTTTTTAGCATCATATTCACCAAGTCTAGTTTACGCATACCAAAGTTCAGCTAAAAATTCAATCGGGAACACATTCAAATTAATTCTTGAAGATAACTGCGCATTTTTGCGTTCTCAAATTAATTTGAATGCGCTCCCGATTAAATTTTTAGCTGAAATTTGGTATGAGTAAACTAGACTTGATGAATAAGATGCTCAAAAAAATTCATCAATAAATTCCACCGAGAACCGCCCCAAATCGCGACGACCGGACAAAGTCTCCTATAGAAGGACTTAATTGACTTTTTTTTATGAAAGTTCGAGGACCTATTTGACAGTTTTCCCATGAAAAAATTATAACAATTACAAAATAAAAACGAATAGATATGCCACATGACAACCAAATAGGGTGGGGATCAACATCACCCTATTTCGAAAAAATTAATTGACTTCTCTTTTGAAAAAACACATTCTCTCCTTTTCTAGAGAGGGTGAATAAAAGTGCTTTCTAATTGTTTTGAGTGAGAAAATTCACCATTAAAAATGAAAACAGGGAAATTAAATATGCTATTTAGTATCCATTGAAATTAGATGAATTGCTGAAGAAATTCCTATTGAAAAGGGTGAATTATTTGAATATGATGAATCATAGAAAAATCATATATATAATATAGTTTATTGATAAAATTAAGAAAATATTATGTGAAAAAGCTATAAAAATACTCTATATAACTTCAAGTAATTTAATCAAAAAATTAACTCTAACATTACTTATTTTGGTTAGTACACAATTCGGCGGTCAAAATCAAAAGTAACGTGTTTGATATTAAAAAAAATTAGCTCATGTGATAAATTAGTCATATACTCTGTAGCTACCGAGTACGTACTAACCTATGTAGCACCGATACCGGTACGCGGAAACGCGGAAACGCGGAAACGGGTACGGGGATACGTCAAAACCAAAAAAAGTAGGATACAGATACGGGGCCATATTTATAAATATTAAAAGTTATGGGGGTGTATTTACAAATATTAAAAGTTATAGGGGTCTATTTATAAATATTAAAATTAGATTTTTTTTGAATATATATATATATATATAATATTTATAAATATTAAAAGTTATGGGGGTGTATTTACAAATATTAAAAGTTATAGGGGGTCTATATATATATACACACACACACACATATAATATCCTATGATGTCTACCCATTCATTGCATTGAAACATTTTTCTTTTTCAAGATACTTGGTAATAAATTCATAATATTTTTCATATACACTAGACATCTCGAAATATAAATATAGTCAATAAGTCATTAATTTAAAATGAGAAATAAGTCAAACAACTACAATCTTGAAATTAAAAGTGCAAGTATCCAATTCGGAGTATGAGTTAATGACTTAATTCGGATATAGCCATATAGGCCCATTATTTGATTACCAAGTAAAATGTAGTTTTAGATTTTCATTTTTGTTTAGAATTTTATTAAGTAAATTTTGGGATTTTTTTAAAAAAAAGTTGATACGGGTATCCGTCAGGATACGGGTATCGGAAACTTTCAAAAAATTACAAAAAAAAATGGAAACTTTTAAAAATTGCAGATACGGCCCGGGAACGTACGGTACGGGTATCCTAGAGTATCGGATACGGGAACGTATCGGATACGCCGATACGCTATCCTAGCGAAGTATCCGTGCTTCATAGGTACTAACTATTCGAGCAATTTTTTGTTATGCTTGCTTTTAGTTATGTAATTTTATGAACTGATAAATTAGTCATATAGCTAATAACTATATCCATTTTAACGATTTTTTCGTGAGAAAGTATACTTAC